TTTTGGAACCTGAGCAGAGGCAGGAAATGATCATCAGGGATGATAAAGACACCAAGAACAACAGGCACATGAAACCAAAATTTGATTGCTTGGGCTCTTTGGTTTTTACAGTGCTGTGAGGCGAGTGAGTTTTGAAGGAAAGCCACATGAATGATGTATGGCCCTTGCTTCTTCAAGGTATGCATGCTTATGTTGAAACTAGTGCTTTGCTGGAAGAGACATCTTGGTTACTTTTTAAAACTTTGATTTGTACTGAGGAAGGGGTTAAAAATACTGTGTTTCTTATGCAAGTTGCAGGACTGGAATGTAAATGTTGCAGTGCAGTTCTTGTAGTGCCCTATGGAGCAGCTGGGAGAAGGTACTCACCACACAGGGTCCATATTGAGACAGGAACGCCATGTCTCAGGAAAATAAGAAAATCTGTCATCTTTTCTCTGTCCTAGACAGAAGAGGAAGATAAAAAAGAAAAAGTACATATCCTGGATGCTCCTGAGTTTCACGAGTATCTTCCCTTGCTGAAAGTTACCAGGTATAGGGGTATTATTTCAGAATGAGTGATGTGTCTGTTACAGGGGGTTGGTTGGTTTAATTTAAGTTGGGCTTCCAGAAGATACTGCTGAATCTGAGCTATGTACCTTGAACCTGCTGTTTGTATTGAGGCTGTTGTTGCATGGTCATCTAAATCTGTTCTAGGACCAGTAGAGAAACAATGAAAATCCTTTAGGTGTAAGCAAAGATGTATTACTGAAAAATTAATGAGAAGGTGTCTCTGTAGCTCAAATGAGCACTTCTAAGATGATTGTAGCCGCTTGTTAAGGCTCCTTATGTCTTATTTTCTTACTCATGTGGGATTGCTTATAAAAACAGCACAGAAATTTAACAGCAGATATATCCCAAATGGCCTTGGTGACTCATTTTAAAAAGGGAAATACCTTATGTGTAGTTACTGTAAACTTAGTCTGAATACTGATTCATTTTTGGTGATCTTGGTTGTACAAGATCTGCAAACTCAGTAGACTGTGACAGCACCTGCTTTTTTATCTCCTTTCCCTTGGCTTTAAACCTTTCTGAAATGTCTGTAGAGTTTATTCTGAAGTTGCAGATTGTTACTCCATAATTAATTGCTTGGTTTGTTTCCCTTGTAGAAACAGACAGGAGCTGAAATCATTCATATGCAGAGAACTTCTAGGTGTGTTTTGTAGAGATAAAAAAAATGTATAAATCAATATTGAAAATATGATTAGCTATTTGTAGCACATGCCCTCCCTGAACAGTGGCTAACACGATACCTGCCCCCTTTTTCCTCCTGCTCCAGACAAGCAAGCAGCATCTAGAAGGGTGACTTGTCTTGCCCTTTCCTTCACAGGCTGGGAAAGATCAGCGTGTGGGGAGAATGCTGCATACTGGGTCATTGGCTCATCTAGTAACACTAAGAAAGAGAGGCCCCAAAATTCAATTTTAGGCACTGCAATTGCTGTTTTCCCCCATGATTTTTCTTCCTTCTGTTCCCTTCCTCCAGTCCTTCTCTAGTAGCTGTGAGCAAGGAGCTGTACCAGGTGTTGAACAGGGTCTCCAGGAGATAGCTGAGCTCTCCTCTTCTGCCAAAGGAAAGACTGTAATGCTACATTGCTGTTGAAAAGCACACTGCAAGATATGTTTTAATTAGAGTGTGCTTTGCTGCAGTGTAACTAAGGGTAAAAAGCTTACGCTGAGTGGAATAGTGTGTTTTATTACTGTGTTTTTCTATTTCAGGTTCTTATCATTGCCGTAGAGAGAAGGAAATTAGAATATGGGATGCCATAGCATTCATAGTATCAGTTGGCAGTAATAATTTTTGGTGAAGGCTGCTTATGAGTTTGACTGGAGGCATTCTTGACAGCATCTCATGCTAGAGGAATAAAGTCTTTTAAGTATTGCATGGCACTTCAAGAAGAGGGCAGACTGAGTTCAACTGACTCTTTTTTTTGGTTGGGATGAATAGCTTTCTACTAATAAATGCAAATTAAGGGAGACTGGAATGTGAAGGAGCATTACATTAGTTTTGCTGTTAAAACAACAAACCAAAACTACCAGATCTTCTGAGATGTATATAAGCGAAGACAAACCAGTATCAAGTATGTGATTGTGGACTAGCTGCATTTTGATTCAGACGTTTTATGACATTTTGGTATGGCAAGTCAAAATGTAATAAACCAACTGTCAAAGATAATAGTTCCATGCTCTCAGACAGTCTCCTGATGACATCTTTTTGTAGAATTCCTTATTAAGGTCACTTTTCAGTAAGAAGAAATATTTTTATTTCTTGCTCTCTCCCTTCCCACCCACATTACAGTTTTCCACAGAACAGAAGTTATGGTTCCTGATGAGGTTTCTATTTGCATATGCAGAGCTGAGGAAGAACAGAGGCTTTCATGTCACCTCCTATACTGATGATGATAGCAATTTCTTATACATAACTGGTCACGCATAAATTTGAGCTAAAGTTTGCAGGAGCAATCACTGAACATGATAAGAGAAAGCTTATTTGAAGCAGCTAACTCCAGAAACTGCAATGTAGGTAGGTTCAGTCATTTGCTGCTCTCAAAAGTGAAAAATGCAATATTGCTATTCCTGTCTCTCCCACTCCTCATATCTGGCTGTTTAATTTTCTAACTCAGTTATGCTGCTACATTACTCCCTAAAGCTGTGCTGCAAACCAGATCGTTTAAATTTCCACTCCAACTTTAACAGTGGCAGCTTCTCTGCTGTGAGAGATCAGAGGTACCCTTAACAGAGGAAGTACTTCTTTAAACTGGATATGTATTTTATGTTTTATACCAACTGGTAATATTTAATGGAATATATTGGATTATTTTTATCACAGTTAGCATTCTGTGCCTTAAATTTTCATGAGTTTTCACTCCCAGCATCCATGCCTTGAACTGAGTCAAGAGATGTAGTGCACTGTGGCCAACTGCTGCTCACAAGTTTTTTGCTTCAGAAAGCAAATATAGCTGAGGGAGAAAGGTGTTTCACAGCTAAATGCTGTTCACAGGCCTTTGGCCTGATTCCCAAACATAGCTGTGATTGTATTAGAGTGTTTTAGGATGTCCTGCCACGTGTGTGTTTAAGTTGCAGAAGGATGTAGAATAGCTTTTTTTGGCCTTTGTGTGGTTAGATGAATTAGCCAAGATTCCAGCTCTCACTGATGTTACTGTGAGGGCAGTCTCATTGGTTTGGTCCTGTAGTTAATTTGCCAACTTCATTTCCAGTGGTATGGTAGGGGTCATGCCTAGCACTCTGAAAGGGGCACAGTGCTTTGGTGTAAGGTACAAGATAATGGTTTAATAACTTCACTGAAACTGGAGATTTAAATCTGGAAATAGAGGAAGAAAATTAACTCAGTCCTTCAAGCTTCTCAATTAATCAACCTAATAGGAAGAGTTCATTATTTGGAACTCAGTTCAACTGCATGGCTCAGTGGCTTTTGCTTTTCTTAAACTAGACATATTCTTTGCAGGTGATTTTAATGGGTAGGCTGCATTAACAGACAATCTAAAAAATTTGAGAAAACCTTTAATATACAGAGATTCTTTCAATGGACCATGAATCATAATGTCAAAGTCTAAAGAATAATAGAATGAAGTACCTTAAAGATCTTATTTCAGTAAATGTAATTTAATATATTTTTAACTGAATATATTTAATATATTTGAGTATTTTATTAGGTATTAATTGTTGAATGTGTTGCTTCCTCTGTAAGTAAAATAGGTACTCAAGTTCACAATAAAAGAAAATAAGTAACCTTCAAATAGAGGCTGGGTGCAGTTCAGTGCCTGAGGCATGTTGGATGATAGATATCTAGATCTTGATTGCAAAGTTACATACCGAGTGTCTTGGTCCAGCCTACAGACAATTTTTGTAACCAGCTTAGTCAGGGATGTGATTTCCCTTCCTACTTCTGCCTGGTACGCTTCGTTTATAGCAGTAATGCCTGCTTTGTGGGAGTCACTGCAATAAGATTGTTCTTTTCCTTGTGCATGGGGACTAGCTGTAGAGGCAGAGGCCTTTTGTTCTGAAGTCATTGCATCTTCCAGTGTGGGTGAACTGCTTGAAGTACATGGGTCTAATCAGAACAGTTTGTCTTCTCTGTTTTGACATGGCTGTTACAGGATCTTGATGGTTCTTACTGATGTGCTGGGAAGGAACAGGCTTGGGAGCGCAACCAGGCAGGTTCAAAAACCTGCTGTCATCCCTGTCCCACGGCATAGGGAATACTTACTGCCTCTGGGTGTGCTTCCTTCGGTGCGGTGCCAGAGGCTAGTGGTGCTGTTAGTTGCAGAAGCATCTCAGCTGAAACAGATATTCCTGTTTAAAAAGTAAAAAAATCTTCCATTCTTTGGCAAGCCGTGTTGTTGGTTTTGTCTCTTAACACTATGTCAACAGTTAACTTTTGGTATACGGTATATAATTATGAAGCAAAGTAACCTCAGCCACTTATATGTTATTTGAGAACATTGAGAGTGCCAAATGTTTATGATTCAGCAGTAGAAGACTTCAGTGAAACCATGCCCACTGTTTTAAGTTACACTGTGGACTCTGAACTGCTGCAGAACACTTCTGCCTTCAGGCACCACGATGTAGAGACTTTTCAAGCAGCTCTTTTTTGCGGGAGAGAAGAGGGCTTATTGTCAGAGTTGCATAAAGCACTTCAGAACCATTGCCATTTTTTTTACCTTTCTTTCCTTCCCCTTCCTCTTTTCCTCGAGTTATTTAAATCATGCTGGACAAAAAGTTTATGACAACACCGTAATACCTTTGGTAATGTTTCGTGCTGTCTATAAGGACAGTTCTGTCTTTCTGCATAGAAGTTGCTAAGCGAGGGGATTTTCTTCAGACGGACACCTCTGCTGTCAGATCACACAGAAACAGATCACCTTGACAGGCTAGTTACTGCCTTTGACCAGATAAGTCGTGCATCCTCACCTTTCTAAAGCAGGCTCCCTGTGCTTGTGCTGCAGGTGCGGCTGTGGAAGCACACCGGAGCAGCGTGGAGGGACTGGGAGAGAGCACCTTACAGAACACTGGTGCCATCTGACGGTAAGTTTTCCCAGCAGGTTCTCCCCCCTCCCATCCATGTACGGAAGCTTTTCTTTTTTGTGGGAGTAGGGGGAGATGACGTTAGTTGCATGTTATATATAAAGAGAGATACATATCCCTTAAAAATAGAGATACTGTATCATTAAAGAAATACAGAATGTTTTGTGTTTTTTTTCTTTATTCATCTTGTGTTTTAAAAACAGCTTTTAAATTAAACCACAACTTACAATACGACTTTTTCACTTTTCTTTCCTCCCTCCCCCCAGAAGTAGCTATTAGTTACAGGCATGGTCTTCCTGTAATGACTCTTATGCTGCCCACAAGAAGTGAACGCTGCCAGTTCACTATTAAGCCAATCATTCCTGCAGGATGTGCAGAGAGAAGATAAAGGAGTTGAAAGGGCGGAAATCTTTGCAACAGGTATTTTACAATTCTGTCATTCCTCAAAATGAGTACATTTCTTTTCAAGTGGAATTTTCAAATGGAATTCCTTTCTCTCCAGAAGCATGAGTTCAGACCTCCATCAGGTTTAACGTTGTTTGCCGTAGGGGTAGTTCACTGTGGATCCAGTGTGTAAATGAACTTCGTGTACACAGGAACTGTGGCATTGTTTGTGGGGGGTTTTGTGTTAGGGTTTGGGGGGTTTTTCGTGTGTTGGGTTTTTGATGTTCTGTTTGTTTGGGGTTTTCTTTATTAATGCTGTGTCTGTTAGGCATCCAAGTTAGAGAATTCTGTTAAAAACGATAATTTTGGAAGAGGCTCTTCAGAAGCCACTGTAACTAATAGTCATTGTCAGCAGCTGGCCTTCCCCTGAACATGGAAGTTTTGACTAAAAGGGATTTCTTACTGGGGTGAGGCAGGACTAGCCAAAAATATGTGCTGGCAAACAGTTAACCTCTGAGCACTACTATCCTGTCATGCAGACACAACCATGGCAGAAGTATTTGTGATTCTCTGCTGAATCGCATTCTTCTGTGGCATCTCAGCAAAAGTTAACTACTTGTTTTGCTTCAGTGCAAACATCAGTCAAATGTGAAGCATAAGATCATTGCTGTAAGAAACCTACAAATCTGGTGTTTCTGGCATCGATAGGTAGCAGGTTCCAAAGTGGAAAGGAATTTGGGCAGTTTTCACCTGTCTCACCTGTTTAAGCCCCCCCACGCCGACTTTGCAATAGAAACACTGCCCACTCATTAAAACAATGACTGTTCAACAGTTCTCTGCTCTGTATTTTTCAAGTCAGGCAATCATGATGTTAGAGCGCTTAGATGTTTAATTCATTAGGAAACTGATACTGTAAAGAGAAACTATTGGTCAAGTACTGAGAGTTGAATTTAAACATTTATTATTAAAGAAAAATTATGAAGCCTTGATTTAGACACTCCTGTGTCATTTAGCTGTTAAATGAAAGCCAACCATAATTGAAAGTATTAGTGCTGTGTATGATGACTCATTTTCTGTGGAGTTGATTTTGGTTCTGCAAAACTTCTGTAGACAAAAAATGGCCCTTTTTCCACATTTGAACACTTTTGGTTAGGTACAGGAAGGAAAACAGTCTTTTGCTGAAAGCCTGTGGGGAATTTGCTAAAACAAAACACCTCACTACCCCCCAAACTTTTTTGCTTTTCAGTTAATAAAAGGTTGGTCAGGTTAATTTTATCACATCCAGAGCAAAGAGTTTGTCTGGTACTTCTTTTGAACAGCTTTTTTTTTTTCTTAAATGTCACTTTATAAATGTCACCTTAATCATTTACATGCAAATGATGTTCTATTACACTGAGGAAAAAAGAAAAAAAGAGTGGATGGGCACATTAAAACTTCGGATTTTGGATTGATAGTGCTAGTGATAGCCTTCCAGGTTTGCTTTGCTACCCACACAGAGGTGGGTGAGCTAGCCTGGTACTTTAGCTTGCACAGCTCAGTAGTGTCAGCCTCAGTAGATGGGGCCTGAGGACAGAGTTCCAGTGAGTAAGTAATTGCAGGAGTGGGGCTCTCTAAGGTACTTTTCTGTAGTGGGCACATGGGGACAGATGGAGGAGCTGGGGCAGTAGCACTGTGACAAATGTTTACATACAAAAATTTTGTAGCCTGATCATTATTCATCTCAGGAGTAAAGCTGCTGTTTTCTGCCACTGCCCACCCCTTGGCAGGGGCAGGAGAAGGTGCCCTTTTTATGTATAGGAAATGAAAGAGCAGGTCAAATGGGTACTGTGGATGTGACTTTTGAATCCCCCCCGCGATGTGTCCAGCAGCACCAGTGGTGTGTGGCTCCAGGGGTTCTTGGGCCATCTGAACCCCCTGGAGGGGCTGATTTTACTGGGTGGCTCTGGGATCTGGACTTGGACCAGTGAGAGCTCCAGGGATCCACTCTTACATGTTGCTGCTAGTGACTCCAGGAACTCCTTTTTGGTGTCTTTGGCTCCCTGCAGGATGTGGTATGTTCCTTTGCCTCCTAGTTGCAGTGAGGTACAGTGGACGGTGAAACGGGGAGGACATATGAAAGCCTGCAGGCAGGAAGAGTAGTAATATACTGAGGAAAAGAGGTTATTTACAAACTCCAGGTCCCTTTAAACAGGGGCAACAAAAAGCAGAGATGGGACAAACCAAATCTTCTACATTTCAGCAGAGGTTTTAGATTACATCTGCCCATGTGTATTGAATGTAAACTAGGAAAGGATCCATTTCTCATTTAGGTGCAGCTATTTTTCCTGTTACCAAGAAAATAGAAATGTTGCCAGAGTATTAATCTTACAAGATCTTCCATGTTGAGAATGCCCTGGGAAGGGCTGCAGTGTCTCTACGCTTTTGGATGAGAGTTTTTTCATATACTGAAGTTGTGGTCCAACTACAAGTCGCAAATGCAAGTCTGCTCATAGTAGTGATGAGTCTGAATGACACTGCTAGAGAAGGGATTCACACACACACTCTCTGTTGATGTGTTCCTCCTTACTTCTTGATGTCAGTTACCAGATTTACTGAAAGTACAGTTCCTTTCCAAACATAATTAATAAATAACTCTGGCACTTTTCCAAAGGGATATCAGTTAATGTTTAAGTTTCCTTATGAGAAATTATTTAGAACTGAAATCTTTGTTCTGCAGATGGTTGCAAGGTCTGTGGTGCAACCTCGATGGAGATCTTATTGAGGAATGACTTCACACTTGTTATCAACAACACAGCATATTGTGTGTCACCTCCTGTGAAAGGTAAGAGCAATGCTTAATAACTCTGATTATCTCACTTCATGGAGTGAAAGAAATGGGAAGTCTCAGAGAACCAAAACCTGTCTGGATAAACGATTTTCTTTTTGTTTTGGGTTTGTTTGGGTTTTTTCTTTTTTCTGGGGGGGGAAGGGGAAAGGGGATGAAGGAGGGCGGGAGTGTTTTCTGTTTTTAACATTGGATGGTCCTGCTCTTTATGGGGAGAGGATGAAGAAGGGTGGGTTCTTGAAGTGTTTTATCTGACAAACATTTTCTTTTCAGATAAGCTGAGTAGTGAGCATGCTACTGAAATGGAAGATATCAAATCCTTGGTTCACAGACTGTATGTGGCTCTACATTTAGAAGATCACCACGTCAGGAAAGAGAGAGAATTGCTACGGAAACTGGACCATCTGAAAGAAGAGCTGTTGCCTCTTGAACAGGTTGGAAAGTGGGGTTACTTTTTTTAGAATCTCAAAAGCAGTTCCTTTCATCAAGAGTAAGTCCTGTGATAGAAGAAAATCAGCATGAATGTTTAGGGTGTGTCTGTTTTATTCATTATGTAAACAAGGATCAATTCAAATAGCATTCAAATTATTTTCAGTTCAGTTCTTTTCACTCCTGCTATGCACATTTCCTGGGTAGAAGCCACCCTAGAGAAAGCTGTCATGAGCAAGCATCAGCATAGCTAGTATTGGGATTGAAAGTCCACTTAGTCACCTGTTGCTGCATGGGTTCTGAATGACCATTACAAAAAAAAAACCCAAAACAACCTGTGGCTTAGGTTAGGCATTTCTTTATCACCAAGACATCAAGGCAAAGTGTCTGGATTAATGGGTGCCAGAACTCAAGAAGGGAAGGTATGAATGTTGATCTAGGGCAGGCTAAGCTAACCCAGCATGAGGGGAGGAAGCCAGAAAGAGCCTGACAAAGTGGACAAATGTTTTCTTGGCTTCAGACCTGCTTTGTAAGGACCAGCCTCAGTGTTAACCACAGCTGCCTTGAATGGTAAATGGAAATCCAGTAGACATAAATCCCTGTATGTCTACATAGTAGTGGGAAGGGGAGATTAAAAGCAGGATTTCTTGGTGCACAGCAGAGGATTTCAGTCCTTTTCTTTCTCAGCAGGGTAAGTCAGTAGGAGGAGTCAGGAATAAGATACTGAAAATGGTTTTAGCCCAGCAGGAGAAAACATAGTTGAGGTGCTGTTCATCACAGGAACACTACCATTTGCTTGAACAGGTTTGCCTATTTCTTTTCGTTAGATGAAAGCCAATATTGCAATCAATGCAAATGCAAAGACCACCAGGCTTCTATGGATTGGCCTAGCTTTGATGTCAACTCAGGGGGGAGCATTGGCATGGCTTACATGGTGGGTCTATTCATGGGACATCATGGAGCCAGTCACATACTTCATCACTTATGGGAGTGCCATGGCTTTCTATGCCTACTTTATTCTTACTAAACAGGTAAGTCCTCATTTTGTAAATGTCTGGTGTATTGTAAAGGAGGAAAACTGACTCTGAAAATCACAATGTTTGGGCTCTCATGAAAATATAGTTCAGTAAATAACCTTGCCATCAGTCAGGGACCTGTTTGATCCCTAATGGGGCTGGATATGAACATTCCATTGTATGAAATCAAGCCAGGTAACTGTTACACATGAACAGCATACCAGCTACTTATTTAATAGGTCTTATTAAATAAGTGTTTCCTTTCATTTTAATTTTTTGTAGATCACTTTGAGTAGTAAACAGCACCTTGCTCGTTGCTGTGAAGGGAGAGCAACTAGTACTGCTGTGCCAGTTTGTGAATGCTGCCTTACAGAAGCAAATCCCTGAACAGCAGCTTTTATTTGCTGGAGTTTATGTTTAAATGATGCAGGGTGCTAAATCCTTTGGAACTTGGGCAGTTGCATTATTGAAATATACCCAATTCAGTGCCTGAAAAAAATGTTACTGCTTTGCTCTTCATAATCTGACTGCTTTTCCTTGACTTTGAATGGAGGTGAATCTAAGACAGCTGAAGTGGAGCAGGGAACAGGCATTGTTTAGAAGAAAAAAAAGTTTGCTGAGCAATAAAAAGACCAGATCTTAACTGAGCTGTACTATACAGACTGTAAGACTTTGAGAAATGTTTCTTTTTCCTGCTTTAGCCTGTACTTTACTCCCAAAGTGGACATCTTGATTTTGAACTTGTGTGATATGAAACTCTTTTTGTTATGGAGGTGTATGGGAGAGGAACCAACACTTCCTTTCGTAATACCGGTGGATCTATAGACCTCATGAGACATCAGGTTCCTTTAGCAAAAAGGGGAGACGTCTGTTTTTATGAAGAACTAGCTCTGAATGCGAGTTTTACTCCTCCTCACTGATTT